TCAAAAGAAAAAATTACCAATTTTGAAACTTTTTTTTTTGAAAAGCGTTTATTGTTCGTTAATTATTCATCCATCAATTTTGTAGTAACTTTGCTTCTCACTCTTCTTCACCCGATAGTTTTAGGAACCGATCAATTACTAATTTCAACACTGTCTGGTTGCCTGTTATCAATTATTGATGACTTACAAAGTTACTGTCATTTTACAAAAAAAAAATGTTGTCATTACTACCTTACTCAAATTCTGTGGCAATATCATTTAACTTGTTTGCAAATGACTCAAAAATGGGGCAAAAAAAGTTAACGTTAAGTCAGAAAGAATCAATAACGAAGGAGTTACAAAAAGAGGTTCAAATCAACAGAAGTGTTAGCAAGTAAATGAGGTTTAACTTCTTTCTGGCACTTTCGTCTTTTTTTAAACAATATATTCACTTTTATACTTAAAAATTCTGACAACATAAATCACAAAATTTATCAAACTAATTATTGAAAAAGTTGCAAATGTGTTGCTGCTAAGCGTAGACCTAAAGATAAAATTGTCAACGAGTGGGAGGAAAGGAGAAAGCAGTTGAAATGTTAGAAACTTTGAAGAAAAAAAAATTTTTCGCACTTAGTCAAGTTTTCTTTCACAACTTGTTTAAGACAAAACCTGACGGCTCAGTGTAACAGAAAAAAATTTCTCAAGACTAATTCCGATGCATTTTCTTGCTAGTTCTAAACGTTGTTTCGTTCCAATTCAAGCGTTCGTCACCAAAAATCATTTCGGTTAGACTCGGAAAACTGAATATTGCCAACTTCTTTGAAACTTGCCAGAAGAAAAGCACAGCTTTTGAGGAAAAAAACTTAAATTTGGCGTTTGTTTGATGTTCTCTTGAAATAAAATCGGCGAACAATGCTTTTGTAAGTCCTGCATTTGTGAAGCAAATAATTGATCTCTTTAGAGCAATTTCAGTTCAATAGATACTTCAGGTTTTGTTCAATGGAAAAAGTAAAGAAAAAACTTCTTCAGAAGGTAATACCAATTTTTCTTTTTACTGTTTGTAATAAAAGTTGCCGTAAAAGTCTTCTGGGCATCCTGACAAGCAAAACTACCCCTCATAAATGACATAAAATGTCTTGCAAAGAAACCTCTGAGTCTTTGTTACAGTGAAAAGACGACTGTTTAAAAGAGAAATGAGAAAGATGATGACAATTGAGATAAAAATTCTTATTTTTTTACACTTTTGATCATTTTTCTAAGAAATAGAGTATTTTCAGTAGTATGCGTTTACTGCTAATGCCTCTTTCCTTCTACGCGTAAAAAACTTTCCAAATGAATTAACCAAAAAAATAAACTTACTATTTCCCTAAAGTCTTTTACACATCAGAAGCAAAAATCTGTCAGCTGCAAATTACAGTCTCAGTAATTTGCGTAGAAACAATAAGTCGAGACTAGAAAGCTTTGAATAAACACCAGAAAAAGACTGTTCAAGTGACAATTACCAGTTGTATATGAAAGGTTCTAGCACAAGTCATAATGTAAAAAAGACATTCCAAAGCAGTATTAGTTATTTTTTAATCTTTTTTTGTTCACAATGTTCATCAAAAAGACCATACATATCTTAGGTACCCATATCATATCAAATTATTTTAGGTTAATTTGGCTTTTTGCTAATATATAGAACTGAATTTACATGTAACAGCTCAAATTTAGCTAGCAGCTTTTGGTTATTTTAGCTGTATAAGACAGCTAGTCGAATTGATATTTCTTGTATAAATTACTTTTCGAAACATTATCAAAATTTTGGAATATGACGCACAAATTTCTAGAAGCTATAGGCCGGTTAAAGAAAATGAAAAAGAGGGACATTTTTTGCAGAGATGACGAAACTGCATACCAGCCACGGTTTCAGTTTTGACTAAATTCTTGTTGCTATCAGTTCATTTAATGCCTTTTTTTACTATGCACCAAAAATTTTTTCTAGTAAAAGTGTTATCTTCTGAAGTAGTCCTTTAAAGAGTCTTTCCTGCTCTTTTGTGGGTTTTTAAAAT